TACATGCACATGGATTATGACTTTTCTCCTTTATACATATTTCAAATGAATATTTATTCGAGCAGTCAATGATAGCTAACCTATATTTGGCCCATTTATTATAATCTGACATTTTAAATTTACTTTTCAGAAGATCTTTTTGATAGATAATACGAGACAGCTTGCTAATTAAGGTATAGTATATATATTAAAATGTGTAAGAAATTGGAGGAGGGACTCGCCTAGGAGCTCTACTGGCAAGACATTAATGAGTTTTGCTAATAGGTATACAAAACTATTACAAATGTTTACAAAAATATAAACGTTGCATTGTTTTTTACACCATGGCATACAAAGATGAGATTAATAGGAATTTAGGTTTATTTATGGAGCCATTAATTTTCTTTCATGAACTAGAAATTATAGAAATCTAGTTACGAATTTTTTGAAATATACACAAATAAATTTATCGCTTGATTGAAAATAATTTTTATTATTTATGGCTAGGTCTTCAGTATTAACTTTTGAACTGTAAAAGTAACGAATAAACTTCTCAATATTAACAATTGCAGATATTTTATTATTTTAAGATAACCTCCAGAAGTTTTGATAAAATAACTTTTCCGAATTATCAGGAAAATAAAGTAGTGTTTTATTCAAAATATGGCCCACTCTAAATGTGAGTAAGACCCAAAAGTGTAAAGTTATGTTGGTGTAATTCTCACTTATTAAATCTCGTCATTCTGGCTCTCCAATAGCTAAGTTCAGCAGAGGGTCCAATATCGTCTGCCTCACGACGTATCTGCTCTGCTTCGCTAAGCACCTGTTCAATTTTATGTGCCCATTGCAGCAATAAGTTTTCTAAACGCGTCATAGTTTCGGTGCTATTTACTTCAAAGTGTTGTAAGCAAAACATAAAATTACTGGTTGTTTTAAAAGCTATGTATAATTAATGTAACTTTATTGATTACAGGAATGAATATTTGTGTAACACTAAGCAAATTACTTCCAAATTTATTCAGCAATTAGTAGAAATAGCGCAAAAAATAATGGGGGCCTATATTAAATTTGAATAATTACCGGAATTTTGCATTTCATTAGGAGAAGCGATATGCATTGCTACTAAATCTGCCTCGGGTCCTGGAGACAGCTCAATCCGTCCACTCATATTTTGCTTTGCGCTCACCAAACTATTGAGAAATCTATCCATTACATCGAGATATTCATCCACAATGAATGCCTTGCTGGGATCCTTGTTTAGTTGACCCCAATCCTTAAAAATACAAATATAAATGAAAAATAATATAACAAATTTAAGCGCTAAAATGATGAATGCACAGAGTTTGATAAACTCTGAGGTTGATTTAACATATTATATCAACTTAGTTAGGAACGTAGCTTTCCCAACATTAATAAATAATGTAGCTAACTATATTATTCTTGTATTCATCTACACTTTTGAATTAATAAAATCAAACTTTCACATTCACGTCAGTTATAGACCATTGCAAGTCTTCGAAGATATAAAAATCAAGATGGTGTGGTCCCCGATATGTTCTCAGTCTCCTTTCGATTTATAAAAGTGGGTTGACCTCGTTGTCGCAACTAGGTCTTGTTGTCAGGTGGACTTAGTAGAACGCATCTTATCAGAAGTCCTTTGCCATAGTAGTTATCGCAATTCCCAATATCAGACAGTGGACGTAGCACATTCTCAGACGTTTCGTCGACATCGTGGTCTGCATCATTAAATGAGTTATTACATTCTCCGCACCAAACTGAAAACTCGTCAAAGAGACAAGTGAAGTCAATCCCCCGACCAACGTTCTGCCTACAATAGTTACACTATCACTCCTCTTTCAGTCCTGGCCCATTTATCCTCTGCTTACCCTCTTATCCAACAAGTAACCAAGTCAGAAGTCGTGATAGGGTTAGAGTTGGATAAGAGTGTAAACACTTGATAAATGGACTAAGACAGAAAGTAAGTTATAGTTTAACCTTTTTTGGCAGAACGTTGATCGAGAGATTGACTTTACTTGTCTCTGACCAATTCGTAGCTTGGTGCGTAGCATGGCAACACTAACTGATGATGCTTACTACGATGCCGGCGAAGAATCTGAGAATGTATCATGTCCACGGTCTTATACCGGGAATTGTGATAACTATAATGGCAGAGGACTTCGGACAAGGTGCATTCTACTAAGTCACCCTGACAGCAAGAACAAGTTGTGACAACGAGGTCAGCCCACTTCCCTTACAAGCCTTACTTACACTTGATTAAATGCTAATAAATAGATAACTAAGAAAGTTTCAAGGATAGTAATCGAACTGACTTATAATATAGCATAATTATTATTCGTTCTATTTATTATCACCAATTTAGACAAGATAAATTACAGTCGTTATTTTCGGGCAAGAAGTTGTGCAAATACCTGCTGCATTTGTGAATCAATAGGGGCTTTTTAGTAACATGTAGTTAGAGTAATTAACTACCCATATTAAACTGTCCCAAATAAAGCCATATGGCGATAATTAGAACACTTTTCATACAACATATTATTAATGTGGAAAAATTGGACTTCAAAGAAGCTCTGAATAGATTAATGTTGTAGAACATTTTAAATAAATAATTACTCATTGTTTTAGTTAAATATATATTTCTGTTACTATTCTATTCCTTAGGAACAGCAAGGAATATACTAGCTTTTTCCCTGCCTGTCACATGAAGGTTATTTTGTCTGGTATCAAACTAACAAATAATAAATAAGGTGCATTACCTCATTGCTCTTTATTATTGGCAATAGCAGCTTAGCAAAATGCCTATGAATAGCTTCGATCAGTTGCCCTCCCCCGCCTGCTGCATCAAATAGCTGAAATATTATTTCAGTTGAAATGTTGGCAGATGTTATTGCCTTGTCCGAAATTCTTGTGAACACCAAACATAGACCTGTCAACGGCTAAAATGTAAATTGAGTAGGCTCAATTTGAAATTTCAATATAGATTATTATAAAATATATGAATATACAGTAATTTAGAAGTAACTTTGAATTCTACATCCAGGAGCTACTACAAATAAAGGATCGTCATTTTAGCGAATTTACTGAGCATTTCATAGACTCCAACCACAGTTAGCCATAATTATTTGAATAAAAGAATTCGTTTTTATAATGGATCAAAATATATCTTATATTCCTAGAATGCTCTAATATACATAAATAACTAATAATTGGGCAATATCTAGATGCAAAAAGCCCGTCTAATCAAATTCAATCTCACATAATATTTATCCAAACATATTATTCAGCTCCGTATCAATTAAATATCATAGAATTTATTATTATTTAAAAAGAAATTAATCTAAATAAATTAAAATAAATTATTTTACTCGAAATAGGTATGTAAGTTAATTTGTTAATTTACTTTAAATTATCAACCAATAAAGAGTATATATAAAAAGGGTGAATATTACTAAAAGACAATCCAAAAAATTCGGTTATGCAGTATATATTTCCGAATTTAATCTCAATTTTATTTATTAGATATCTCGTGATTGTTAGACTAACGGGCTTTTTGTTAAAAACAAGGTAAACTATGAACTCCAACATGATGTTATAAATACATTAATAATATAATTATAATAATATAATAAATACACAAGTATATATCTGAAATATTGTCAGGGATAATTGAGAGAATATGAAATAATATAAAATAGTCTGTTAACAATGTGGTCTAAAATATTTTAGATACGAAAGAAACTAAGTTTTTATTAATCTCTTGAGATAACATTGTAGGGGAACTTTAATTTCGGAGGAAGGTGAATAAAGAAGAGATTCGTTTGTCGATCTGACCAGATAAGGACAGATAAATCTCGGTATATGGAAGCCGTTTGTCTTTTATACGATATTCATGTTGAGATAGTCCACAAGACATCCTACCTCGTTTTGGTGAAAACGTGATCAGTTTCTTCCATCATATAATGGACATCATCAGAGCTGGGTGTCATTCTTGTAGAAGTCCCGCGTTAACACCAGGGGAAGAACAGTATCCGGCTCTATCTTACTTCTTAAATAGACTCAATAAAGCCAAAATAAAATTAAAAACCTAATTAGATCGATATAGAATGGTTTGGCTAATCATCTTTAATACAGGTCCTGTTAGTTTTGCTCAAGTGTGTGTGTAGGTGTATGTGTGCGTGATACCGTCTATATTCAATAAGGTTCCTAAATCAGAGTTGTGAAATGTTTGCTCTCAGGTTTAGATTCTCAAGGCCTAATGACACAAGAGAAAGCCTTGACCGGGACTGCGTAAGTCAGTGAAGAAGTATGGTTGAGATAATGAAATATGAGCTTGTAGCAAGAAAAGCAAGTTACAAAACTACTTGTCCTAACCTTTCAGTCTAAGGTCATTAATGTTTAACTTCCCAAGGGGTTGCGTAATTTGACATGTCTGGTTGGGTTGGGGAGCCTACTTTAACCTGTTAGATGAATGTGAGTGAAATTAGAAGCATCACCGTGCAGACAAATTGAGTCGCTTTCTTTTTGAAGGTGGCTCAACACCCTCTCTTTCTTCCAATCTATCAATCAAGCATAAGTAATTCCTGCTCAACTTTCTACACCGTTTCTCACATTCAACGTATTTCCTAAGCTATTAATTTCAATAGCCTCTCTTATCTTTATTTTAAACACAGACG